TCGGTCGTTGACCGCCCTATCGAAGGTGAGGAGTTTAACTTCGAGCTCAACTCGTTGAACATACCCGCCAAGTGCTCGATTTGTCCACGAAGTTCCCAAGCCCATGCCGGCGGTGAACCAGATTCTTCCACCGGGCGGTTCCCCGCCTCGGTGCTTCTCATTAACAACGGATCATTGGCATCCATGACGTTAGTAGTCACTTCTTCTCGGATGATTGTACCAAAATCGATATCTCACTGCTATAACTAATAAGCCAACTCGACTCCAGCTCTTGTAGTATACCAGCTAACTTAGTGATACGGTAGTGGCCCTAGCCAGTTGTAGGGTATTTAGTTACTGTCGATCGATACCACAAATATAAGACGGAGGTAAGTCAAGACAGTTAAGCCGAAGGTCGATAGAACCGATCTTCTAACCGAACTGAACGAAGATAAATAAACGAAGAAGAAGAACTGAGATAACTCAGATAATGATAGAACTATAGCACAGTTATACTCGATCGATCAGACTCTTGATAACACGGGGTGAAGCCGCTGGATGAAGCCTTGCACGCAAACTCATCTTCATGAACGCAAACTCATATTCACGCACCCAGGCCCGGTCCAGCACACCTCGACCATGGCCGTAGGAATCGGTTTCATGCAAAGTGCACAACATATTATTGAGAGAAAGCAAGAACGCAAGATTCAAAAACCGATTCTCCCACAACTTATTGGGCTCCATTACAGATTTATTGGGGTGAGGTCACTTCACTTAAGTGTCATGCACTTCTTAAGTCGAGACTCGTACTCAGTAGACTTACCGTACTTACCACTTACTATGACCAACTCTAAACTTGTGTTGGCAGAGTCTCTATATCTCTCTTCAGAACTGGTGAGTAATGTTGTATATGAACGTTGATGGGATAATCTATTCAGATACTGCATTCGGCGTAGGTTTTGTGGACGGAGTGCATCTACTGCGAGATCAGCTCATTTGGAGATATTCTTGGTAACTGCTAGGATTAACAAGGGTACGTGATTCTGTAGTCTAGTATATCTATTTTCTATCTCAGGTTGATCAGTGGAATGAGTTGGAACTGTCCTGAGACTGTCGTCACTAGTGATGGTTTAATGAGAGAGATTATTTATCTATTTTTACGGTAGCGCGTCCATGGTTAGTTGGATGCCACTCTGTCGCCCCGAGAAAGCATAAGAAGCATTGTTGCCGGAGCTCTTGGCTATAGCTTTTTCATCACAAATGGTGAGTGATGTTGAATATGAGCGTTGATGGGATAATCTATTCAGATACTGCATTCGGCGTAGGTTTTATGGACGGAGTGCATCTACTGCATCACTGGAGACTAGCGACCATGTACGCACTCGCAGTATGGTAGGTACCTCACTGAGGTGACCTCAATAGTGCTCAGCTATTGTAGCTGCTACAAGTAGCTGTCTCGGTGATTGGTAGAGAAAAATCTGCACGTTCCTCAATATGCTCCTCATGCAAATTGCATGATGCAATCCCTAATAGTAACTCTATGAAGGCACTCTAGTGGTGCCCGCCGGGCACTGCCCGGGAGTGAATATTGTGTGCGGAGGGCTGTAGAGTTCATATTTAGTAATTCTGTACGTGTTGCAATACAATATGATACAATATGAACATATATTGAACGTCCCATGAACGTGACTTTCAGGAGATATGATCAAGTCCCACCCTACAATAACGAGCTCCTAAGGCATATATTTGATGGTTTGGATGATTTAGTGTTAGATTACTGTCGTTCTGATTATTGTGTCTTGAAAACGTGCAACTGGGCAACTCAACTCATGCAGTTAAAGACCAATGTAAACTCGCAAGAGCCACTATCCAGACTCAGTTGGACATATGTGTATGTGCGCAGCTGCCGAATGCATGCAAATCACATAACCGTATGAATCTAACACTCAAACCCCAGAGGCACGAGTAGAAGACTGGCCATAGCTCGGCCCGAGCAAAACATGCGTGTCCACAACGACGGTGGTAACACAATTACACGCGGGCGCCGTAAGCGGTACATAGACAGCGGTGATTACACAGTAAGCGGACCGCTTAAAGCGGTACACGCGGACATTCCAGTCAACTCTCAATTCGAAGTTAAGTTTGGAAGTTGATTGAAATAGGGAGGAGTGTACTCGCTATCTCCCATCCAGGGCTCTTCATGTGCACTTCGGTATAAGTTAAATGAAGAAAATACGCGAATGGAGATAAATAAAAGGCTGAAACCAGGGCTGTCGCCAGCGCTCGCGAGGCTTACGCCTCGTAGCACTGACCTACGTCTGGTGTACGCCCATGTGCAAGCATCAGACTGATTAACTCTAAACAAAACGTTTGGGCGCGAAATTTATCACACTGATTTTGCACGAAAAAACTTCAAATGGGCCACTACAGATCATTCACAAGAAGTCAGGGTCTAACTGCAACTGCGCTGCGTAATTTCTCAATTCCACTAATATTTGTACGATTTCCCATGGTAGTCGATGCTTTCGCACCCATGATGGGACGTGCTGCATCCTCAAACGCGTACTATTGCTATTGAAGTTGAGTCGCAATAGGAATAGGCAAGGTGCACAATAGTCTATGTGCATTATGTAGTTCTCACGGTCATGACATTATTGATGATATTGATCGTAAATTATTCAATTACCGTAAACTTGAGAGTATTCGGATCGAATGTTTCGGACACTCTTCACTTGTGACAGATAGCGACGACTTTGTCTGTAATCACTCAATATACCAGTCTGATATATTGAGTGACTCAATTCGTACTATTGCGAGTCACAATTCACCTCGCTAAAGCAACAAATCGTGCGACATCATCTACGTGACTCGATGCGTGATATTATCAGTCACGTGAGTGTACTTCCTGAGTGCAGCCGAACTGGTGGAGAGAACTTCTGTGGGCGTATGTAGTACGCTTTTCGGTCTCATACG